GCGCTAACTAACTTATTTGAGAATACTGTGGTTCTAAACTTTGCAGCGAGGTCTAGTAAGAGATTAGGCCCGCTCACATAACAATGGACGTCTAAATACATATCCCCTTTCACTTCCACTCAGCAACAACATCATCTTTGCTGTACCATCCTTTCAACTGCCACAGAACACACAGGTAATGCAAGCATGCAATATCACAAAAACATCAACCCAACCAAACACCCAGAAAAATATTCAGATTCAGCAAAAAAAATATTCAGATTCAACCAACCAAACATCCAGATTCAACAAAAATATCCAGATTCAACTATACAAACCCACAAAAATATTCAGATTCAAGCAAACAAATATCATGAATTGCAACTTTACAACCAAACCCACAAAAACATCATGAATTGCAAAAGTTGGAAGTTCTAGTTTACCTTGCAAAGGGAGAGAGACGAAAGAGGAAGGTGAGAGGAGAGGTGGTCGGTGGTCGTCACACGGGATGGGCTTCGATGCAGGTAGAGAGAGACAGAGAGAGAGAGTTCAAAAATTGAAATCAGAGTGAGAGAGGAGATGAGTACCTGTGACGGAGAGGAGAGAGAGAGAGATTTTCTTCAATTTACATTTTGGACCGTTAGATCTTGATGGTAATTGATCTCAACCGTTGATGCTCAAAGAGCATTTGGGCGGGAAATATCAACCATTGAAGTTTAGATGAAACAATTTAAACCATTGGATCACAATGTATCTCTAAGATAAATTACACATTTTCAAAAACCCTTCTCCCTTATTTTATAGATGGGATTACTATCCCAATTGAGGATAGTGATTCCCTAGATTTAGACATTCAATTTAAAAATAAATAAACAAATATAGAATGCTGAGTAAGCCTACCAAACTTTAAACAAATAAATAAACAAATAAACAAATAAAAATAAATAAACAAATTTTTTTTAAAAAAAATGGAAACCAGTTTGGTGGCATGTAAGCCTACCAAACTTTAACATATACTTAAAATTAATATAAGAAAAAAAAAATAAAAAAATAAAAAAATAAAAGAAGAAGAAGAAGAAGAAAAAGAAAAAGAAAAGCCTATAAGTAAATAGACGATTACCTGGATACGAAGCTAAATTAGCGTGTCTGGGACGCGCTCTGCTGTAGAATGATTGAGCAGCAAAAAAATAATTAATCCATTCAAAAATCCAAAATCAAACACTGGTACTGGCTTTGCACCCGAAAATACTTTAATCTTAATGTACACTTATTATAACCAATCCTAATAATTATGAGTTATTTTGAAAAGTTGGTTAAAAGCTGATTTTTTGTATTTTTAGCTAATAATGTTCAAACCCATTTTAAATGACCCATAAACAATCTAAACTAACCCTAAAAAGATAGATGAAACATGACATTCAAATTAACCTCTAATGAACATAAATCATCAAAACACCATAAATCAAATTAATTCACAATAATAATAATAATAATTATAATAATAATAATAATTAATAAATATAAATAAATACAATAACAAAATTAAATATGATGAAGAAAAATGAGACCTTGGAATAAGAACCAACGCCATAGATACTGCCCAATTCAAAGCTCTTAGATCTGGGTATGTTCCCTCCATTGGAAGAATTGCTCTCAATCCTTAACTTTGAATCAAAATCCTTCTCCATATTAGCTACCGCTCCAGACCCAACATATATACGTATAGTTTTTTCTGTTTATAAATATCAATCTCTCTCTCTCTCTCTCTCTCTTTCTCTCTCCTCTAATAATAGCACACACTCTCTATAAATCTTGGAAGAAGAGTAGGGTCATCGTCGTCGTTACGGCCTCCAATGAAAAAGGAAATTAGGACCGGTGAACAGGATAGAGCAGAAGAAGAGCAAAGCCATGGTACATTCAAGTTTAACACACGTCAACACTATTTACAGGCTCATGGCTGTCTTTAGCATTTTATAAGATTTTTTTCTTTTTCTTTTTTTTGGACTTATTTTTTGCGTCGTTACTGAATTTAAAGAAAATAAGCTTTAGGATTTTGAATTTTACTGGATTAGATGGATTGAAAAAATAATTTTTTTAAAAAAAAATTGAAAAGAAATCTAGAAAGGCCCCAAAAAAAATAAAAAAATTCAAAGCAATTGAATTTCTTAATAGTTTCCTTTTTTGGAATTTTTAAATTAAATTTGTGTCCGCAAGACCGGCTAAAAATTAATTTTTTTGATACATTTTTTAAATTAACTTTTACCATGGTTCCAAGCACCCTACAATTCAAAAGGAGGAAATATTTCTTTGTGTAATACATTTATATGTACGTAAATTAGTAAATTCGTAAAAATTTAATTTTCTTTCAAAAATGATAAAGGAAAGAAAATGTAATTATCTACATACATCTACAAAATGCAGAGCATTGTTTGATGAAAAGTTTATTCCAATTCCAATCTAATTTTCAGGAACAGTAATCACAATTCATGTTGTTGTTCAAACAGTAGTTGTGTTCATTCAGTTCAGTAATCAAAAATCAAAAATAAAAAATCAATTATCTACATACATCCACAAAATGCAGAGCATTGTTCATTCAGTTCAAGAACAGTAATCAAAAATCAATTTCACAATGAAATTGTAATTATCTACATACATCAAAAAATGACAGAGTCTGACTACCGCATTCATCACTGACTTACACCTCATTTGTTCTACAAACGTGAACAAATGATAGTGCTAGGGGAACATCTGAAAAGTTGCAAAGGAGACTTACAATTTAGGGAAACAACCATGTATAGAAGTGCAGGACACATCACAGAGGTCTACAAATGAATTTGGACTTTGAGATTATACCGACTTAAGGGGTATTTTACAAGCATCAAGAAAAGAAAAATCCATTGGTAGAAAAAGCCATAGGTAGAAAAATTCAAAAGCATTTAGAAATGATTATTGATCCAGATATGGGATCAACAACTTAGAAAAAGCATGGATCAAACTTTAGGAACTAATTTAATGGCTCTTAGGATTAATCAAAAAAAAAAAAAAATACTACTAAATGATCCAACAATTCAAATTGGCAAAGTATCATCTCTCCCTGTAAGTAATTAGTAGATGAAAAATATGAAATCGCTATACAAACGTTGGACCAAGCAAACAATGTTTACTTCTTTAAGAAGGTGAGTGGCTAAGTGTAATTAGTGTGTGATTATAGCATTGACAGGCATAAGAGTGTCTACTAAGCGTTGGACTCTACTACGATTAATAAAATAAAAATGTGCCAGCAATTTTCAAAACAGCAATTTGAATTGAATTAAACCAGTATGGTATAGAAAAGCCACTGAAGCAGATTATTAGTTTGAATTCACTATTTCAAAATCAATGTATAATATGACTACTGCATAATTAATCCACAACCAAGAGGCCAAATATGTATTCCCGAGGCAACCAAATGAGCAAATTGCCTGAACAATAATTTCAATAAACACACAACCCAATTTCCATTCGACCCAATTTCCATTCGACTCAAAATCCAATACAGGAGTAATATAATATAATCCCCAAAAGATGAAATCAGAGTCTTAAACCCAATACCACATAGAAGTACAAAACACAAAATTCAAATTTGAAAAGCAAAAACCCAAAAAGGGAAAAGGGTATTACTATTATAGTATACAGAGAAAAGAAAATACCTGTACTGAACCCCCATCTTGATACCGAGAGACAGCCTCAGCAATGGCGAAATACTTGGAAGGGTCATCAGCAACGTACCTGAAAGGCCTAATCCCAGCGTCTCTGACCAGACCCAGAAGCTGCCTCATATACAGCTCTGGATGATCGTTCTTGGAGATCTCAACTGGAGTCTGGAGATCTCAACCGGAGTCTGAAGATCGGACCTCAACCCTCTCTTGTATGTCCCTGTGCTTCCCTCTCATGTAGTCCGACAGCTATTGGGTGCTCGCGCACGATTGCAGCTCTAGGGCGTCGGTCACTTGACGGTCAGGATGAATCGGCGGTGGGTTTAGGTGCAAGGACAGCCGTTGGATTCGCCGGGAAATGGGTTGATCAAAGAGATCGATCTTCCCCTGATTCAGCCGTCTGATTGGGATTGGGAGAATGAATTGTGGGGCTCAAAGAGATGTCGATGAGCGGGTGCGAGTGTGAGGAGGGTAGGTGTCGATGAGCCAAGTTCGATCTTCCCCTTCAATGGCGGCGATGAGCGAACGTGTAGAGAGAGAACGTGTAGAAAGGGCCAGATCTGTAGTGAGAGAATGTGTAAAGAGAGTGGTCTGTTTGGACAGACGTGGGAGTGAGAGAGAGTGTGCGTTTGGGCGGGAATCAAACAATTCTCAACCATTGATATCTATTAGAATGAATCTAAACCTTTGATTCAAAATGTATCTCTCATACATTTTAACACATTTTCAAAAAGTCTCTTGCCTTATTATATAGATATCTGCTGATACATCATGATAACTTGTTAAAGGTATCAAATAATTGAACATCTTCATTCAGAGCTACAGAAAATGAATTATAATATAATTGTTAACACGGAATAAAGAAGTTCCATTCAAATCCATCTAGAGAACCACCTGATGAGATGAGCACAAAACATTTTTACCACACCTTTCTTATGATGAGATGGGTAGGATTTCCAGCCCAACACAGTCAAACCAAGTCAAGCTGTCAAAAGGAGTCTACTCAGTTTTTAGTCAAAGAGAGGCATTAGAAACAGGCTTCAGAGAATTTAATTTGATCTTTTATAGAAAAGTAACAGTGTAACACCAAATTAGCTTGGCTTCCACCATGTTTTATTTACGGTATCAGCAATATTTTTGCTTTTCTATTTCATCATTAGACTGGGTAGTTGGTCTAGACATATCTATTGACACAAGTAATCCGGGTAGGGAAGAGAAGTACCCAGCCAACAATGTTGAAGCCCTTCTCAATAAATGCTGCATCAGTGGGTCGCTTTCCACTCACTACTTCAAGAACCAGAACCCCAAAACTATAAACATCAGTCTTTTTTGTTGCTCTACCGCTTTGCATTTATTCTGCCAGTGAAGTAATACACTCAATTCAGAATAGACTACTTTGAATGCTTATACCAAAATCACAATAGCTATACTACAGCGTTACAAAATAGAAAAAACTTGGGCCACTGCAAAGACAAGTTGACATATTCTTCAGTCATGCACAGAGCAGTATGAATGAATAGAAGATATAGATGATCGTGACAGATTAGTGTTACCTGCATCCAGGCTTGTCAGTTTCCCATTATTAGTAAATTGAAAAGTGTCACCATTCCATTTGGGTAGTCATTGAAATTGAAAAGTAGGTAGCTTCCTTTGTCAAGAAAACTAAGTCACAAAACTAAAATTTAACTCATAGACAACACCTTAGAAAGTGCAATGAACAGGAAAATAACAATGTCAGCTTTTGGAGATGTAGGTCTTTGGTAAATGTAGGTAAATCATTAATATTCTATCAAAAACAACTATGGATTGAATAACGCATGTCCCATAAGGTGTATTAAAATACTCTTAACTTAATGGAATAGGATACTCATTATCAGAACGATCTGTTCCTTCTAATTTGGGGTTCCCAGCATTGACTAGACCACCAAATATCTGCAAGCAAAAGAAGACACATGAAAGACTAATTATGTTAAATTTTATACCGCAGACAAAGACAATCAGTCAACTAAAAAGAAATAAAATTGAAGACCACATGAAAGCTTTTGACATGACTTGGAATTCAAATTAGGTGAATAAGGAGTTCCATGTTTTGTTCTGAAAGTGAAAGATGTCAGAAATGTTAAGCATAACTAAACAGAAATTTAGGACGACAAAGGCCACATGAAAAACTGTCTCTACACACAAAAGCCAAGAGAACAAAATGGAAGCAGGTGAAGATAGAACTTGTTTTACCTGTAAACCAAGAGAGCAATAGATGCATAGAATGCAAAATATGATGCCCATAAATGGCATCAAACTTGGTATGAGGGTAAAAAACGTGGCAACAAAGGCACGGTACCGCTGGACTTGCATCAAGAGCCTAATTAATCGTAACATTCTAGCAAGAAGAAGATAACGGATCCTGTAATTGAGGAGAGCCAATTAAATATATATCATGGAATTTAAAGAAATGATTGTGAGGCTAATCACTCTAGGCAACAGCTAGTACTAAACAAACTATTTTCCAGACATGAGTATGAATCAAGAAATAGAACTATATGATATGCCGTGGCTATTTTTCACGACATACCTCGGGTTTTCAATAAGGTTCATGCAAGTGGCTCATGATCCATTTTATTTATTTATTTATATTGGGTATGTGTCTAGGGTCATTAAATTGTATGAGATGTTCTGCATAAAAGTGATGAGCACAATTTTTATGCATCTATCAGATAGTAATAAGTTTATAATAATTGTGACTTCACAAATCAGAATCTGTAATCTTCACTGGTCTTAGATACCAAGTGACTAGTAAACAAAACAAACTTAAGCTTTACTCATTAGCTGTTGGTAGCAACAATTAGAAACCTCTTTGTAATAGTCTAAAATCTAAAAAGATCTAAAAACCAAAAAGAAACTAGTATTCCTCAATTATCAAACACATCTGTTAGTAGAAAAATATGTGGGAACATGGACACGTGTTTTCCAATTCATGGTCCAAACCATATGATTTGACAGAGCTTGTAAACAATCAATTTGAATCCTAATGTTTGAATCCAGAAAATTCATTATTCAGAGACCATCAAGTTGTGTTGATGAACCAAAAGATTCACAAACTTAACTCCTAAAAATTAGCTAGAACCATTTGCAATCTCTAGTTCCACAAAGCAGATTTTGACTCTACTAGTACTACTCTATTCCAAATACATGTCTAAACCAAATAAATAACTACTGATCACTCAATAGATTGACAAATATTTGCATCAAACCATAATAGTTGACACTTGCAATAACATAAATGGTGTTCGTCGAACCAGTCCAATTCTTAAGGACACTTGCAAGATAAATCAGGAATGATTTAATTTCAATTATCAGGATGATCTGAACTTGGTAATTTTGGTCTAGCATATTAAAGAGGACACAATTAAACTTTCATCTTAATGCATGTGCATAACTCATCTATCAAATGCACAGAAAATGCCAGCACTAATGGTATACAAACAAATTGTCAACTTTAAATGGAATCTCACAGAAATGAAAAGCTGCTGCATAGTATAAGACTGGAAGTTTTTTTTCCCTAGCATCAAATGAGAGAATATGAAATAACTAACATAGAATGATATGCCTGAATGTATTAGAAATGAGATCACCTTGAAAAACTGTGATGGAATCAAGAATACCCTTCCCACCAGGGTAGGGAAATCATGTGCACCAAAAGCTACAAATTTGTGCAGGTCATGTTGCCAAAATGCAATGGTGCTCCAATCATTCATTTATTGTAATGACAAATGATGAAAACATTACACAAATATGTGCCTAGTTTTACGAGCTTAGAAACCATAAAATAAATGCAGTAGAAAAAATTAAATAGAAGGGATGAAATATATCTCTTTGTAATAGAAGAAAATAGATGAATAGGTAACATTTTCATATTAACCGAATATCTGAAGTTATAAAAGCAATGATAAAGATAAAAATTCAGATAAGTGTAACACTTGTTAGCATACAAAAGCAACTTGAGGTTACATCCTCAAATCTTGGGCCTTCAAGTTTAACAGAGGTCATGTAACGATTTTAGTAAAGAAAAATTAATAACATTTGTAGCAGAAAGTCCAAGCCATCCAGTAAATCTAACAATTAAATTCAGATATTTGAGTGGGAAAGTTCATGGTCACGATGAACTTTTGACTCTGTTCTTGTTATTGTTGTCAATGACCGGAAGTTCAATAACCAATTTAGTCTTCTCTATACTCAGAAATGCTGCTCAACTCAACTATCCCAATTTTTTGGTAATGCTTTTATATGCTTGGGCAATCAAAATATCTATCAACGATTCAACATTTCATTTTTTTTTTTGCGCATTAAAGCAACCATTTTTTACATCTGTTAATGAGGAACAAACATACTTTCTTATTTAATTTTCTTTCAATTTACAACAATTTCTTACATTAATTATATAAATTCAGCAAAAGGGTAGTGTACAAACCGGAATTTTAGCTGCAATGGGGCAGTTTTTATAGGAATTTTCACAGCAAACATTTGTGACATCCTTAAGCACTGCCCTCCTCTTATGCTGAACAGGTGCAGCAGCAGAAGCACTGCTATTCATCTCATCTAAAGCTGCTCTTTTTGAACTTGTCCGTAAAACTTGCTTTTGACCTTGCTGCTTCAGTGCTTCTGAAGGTGGAATCCCTCCAAATGCATGACAAGCAGCAGCTCGAGCTCGTGTCATTCTAACAGTAGGCTCCCCAACATTAGCAATAGCAAGATTTTCTTCCTTCATGTTTACTGGCCTTAGAGAAGAGCAAGGCAAGGGTTTCTAAATTCAGATAAGACTCATGAAACCTGCAACAAAATGCATATTGGGACAAAGTGAAATAAAGGACAAGCTGCTGAAGTGAGAAGGGGCTCCAGAATAGGGAACTCACAGGCTGCTAAAGAAATATCGTAAGCGAGTAAAAGTACAAAATAAAGCATAACAACCTAGAGCATCTAATTTTCCAGATAATCAAAGTAATGTTTGTCTTTAAAGACATCAAAACAGATGCACAACCATGTACAACTGGTGTATAAAAAGCTACACACTGCTAGGGAGGTAAAGAAATGGTTCCAGAAAAGACTCTGAATCTAATAGAATGAAATAAAAGGTAAATATCTTAAATTCAAAAATCAAGAGTGAAATAAAGCCATTAGAATCCAGTGCTGGAAAATATTGGTTTCAGCTCCTGAAACTGCTAAACATTGTAATTTGATGATTCTAAATGAAAATGATGATCTCCAATCAGTGATTTACATAAAACACTGATATTTTCTACTTTGGATCTCCAGGTGTGGTGGAGCTCCATCTAGCAGCTACCTACGTATCCACAAACCAAATGCAAAGATAGAGACAAAATTCAATATATTCAAATAATAGATGGAATGGCTTTTTAGCTTAAAAAAATAAAATACTTTGGAGCAAAACTTGCAATTATAGGAATCACTTCAAGTTCATTATAGGAATCACTTGACGAATACACCATTCAGCCACTTTTTTGACATTGTGGCATGTTTCTATCCCTTATTGCCTACCTAAGATTCTAAGAAGCATGAACACAGACAAGTGATATGACACGAACATGCCAATACAACAATTTTCAAAAAATATAGGACATGACACATGAAGGACACACATAAAATATATAATTTTGTATATATTTATTATATGCTATATATATGAATATATCATTCAAAGATAATTAAAAAAAAAATGAGAGAGACGTGTCCAAGTAATCGTTGCACATGAAACATGACAATAACTTACCAACCAACCAGCAATCCCAGGAAGTTCTGTAACATGAGTGAAAATAGGTTTCACTGTCATCTGAAAATATGCTATATATATATGACTATATCTTCTATTTTTCTTCATGAATGAAGTCTTAAAAGGGCTATGATGCAGCATCACAACTTGCTACAAATTTCTCATCATCAAACAAATCTATTAGTTGAAGACAAGCACCCTAATAAAACATCAAAGGGCTGAAATAATCAAATTTAATAAACTATTAAGTGAAACCCTCACTTCAGTGAATTCCAATCCGTTGTTTTAAGCAAACATAGCTAGTTTTTGAACTTGGCCGTGCTCATTTGATACATAATTCAACATATAATCCATATGAATATATAAAAGGTTACAGAGTTTCTTATTGAGATCTATTTTTAAAAAAAAATATCAATCTATTCATATATATGTATGTATGTATTTTGTGTTCAATTTTAACATCTACAATACACATATAGATCTTCAATCGAAACCTACCATACTTGAATCGAATCAATAGATCTTCAATCTGATCTAAGAATGATAAAGTAGATGAAACCTAGCATACTTGAATCGAATGATTCCGTCAGTAAGAAGATAGAGATGAGACTGATCAACACTTACTATGAAGAAGAGCTGCGAACGCGAACGCGAACGCGAACACGAGCTAGAGAAGAGGCTTGAATCGATCTATGAATACTTGAATCGATCTGCAAATACGAAGGGGTTCAGCTACGGTTCTACAAATATGAAGGGTTGTCTCTGAAACAAAGGGGTTTGAAGCGAGAGAGAGTGAAATCAACGGTTTAGAGAGAGAGAGAGCAAGACTGAGAGTGAATAATACTTTAATCGATCTACGAATACATGAATCGATCTGCAAATACAAAGGGGTTCAGTTGCGGTTCTACAAATACGAAGGGGTTTGAAGAGAAGGGAGAGAGAGGGAGGGAGAGAGAGAGTGAAATCAAGGTTTAGTCAGAAAGAGGGAGACGAGAGAGAGTGAGCACGCTACTTGATGTTCTCATATATTAAAAAAATAAAATATAAAAAAACACATTCGAAGGCGTTTTTAAAACAACTTGTGAAATGAAAACGGTGTCGTATTATTAAATGAAAAATGCGACGTTTATAAAAACGCCGTTAAATGTTAGAAACGGAGGCATTTTTTTAAACGTCGTTAAATAAACGCCGTTAAATCCCAGTATTCTTGTAGTGGTAGGGGCTCACGATTTATGTTAAGAATGGAAAAATAGTATGAGACTAAATAATTAGTGATTGGTTTGGAATATAACCACGTAATATTCTAAAATTATTAATTAATTTCCCAATAACTGACTAGTTGCTTGCCGGTATAATTTACCCCAAAAATTATCTATCTATACATATTATTATAATTGGTAAAAGGTATCACATTTAACTCTCAACACCCAATAATTTTTCCTATTGATACCCATAAAACTGTCTGTGCGTACAACTAGTAAAGACACCACACAGCTCTCAATACCTTTCTCACTTCACACTCTTCATTCACACATCCAACAAAATGGGAGCCCAATCTATGGTTGTTTCTGTAAATCAAATTGATGTATATTATTGATTGATATTGTTACATGATTGTTTGTATATATTGTATTACAAATCAGAGTGGCATTATATAGGAGAGGGTTTGGGTTAGTGAGTGGTGGTAGTGGATGGTAGTGGAGGTGGTGGGTAGAGTGGGTTAGGTTTAGTGGAGTTGAGTGGGTGTAGTGGGTTAGGTTTAGTGGTACATTAACAGCCCCCCTCAAACTCAAGGAGGATAGGAACTAACCAACTTGAGTTTGAAGAGAGTAACAAAACAGAAAAGTAAACTGATAAATAAAACAGGATAGGAGACACGGTATGGTCGTGTCAGACCGATGTAGCAGACAGTTTATGGGGTCATGTCGGACCGTTGTAGCAGACACTGTGTGGTCGTGTCAGACCGATGTAGAAGACAGTTTATGGGGTCATGTCGGACCGTTTGTAGCAGACAGTTTATGGGGTCGTGTCGGACCGTTGTAGCAGACAGTTTACGGGGTCATGTCGGACCGTTATAGCAGACACTATGTGGTCGTGTCAGACCGTTGTAGAAGACAGTTTATGGGGTCATGTCGGACCGTTGTAGCAGAGGTTGTGTGGTCGTGTCAGACCGATGTAGAAAACAGTTTATGGGGTCATGTCGGACCGATGTAGAAGACAGTTTATGGGCCATCCCTGCGTTTTTTATTTGAAATTAAAAAAAAAAAAAATTAGATAGATGAAAGGAGGGGATTTGAACCTTAGACTCATGTCAAATGAGTAAGATTCTTACCACTTAACTAGCACATAATATATGATAAATGTTTTATTTTATTTTTATTTATTTGAATTGCACACGCATCGCGTGTGGCAACCGCTAGTAATATATATATCTCTACATTTGAAGTGTGTGTTTCTAACCCCCCCTCAAACTCAAATAGGTGTGAAGGTAGAAACCTATTTGAGGTTGAAACAAAGGGATTGATAAAGCTGGCTGGTGTAGAAGACACTGTATGAGTGTGTATATAGGCTGCCCAAAAAATATACATAGATGGAGATATCGAGCCCTCAAAAGCGTGCCCTCAAAAGGTGTGCCCGCACCCTCAAAAGGCGTGCCATCAAAAGGCGTGCCCGAATGCATCAAAAGGCGTGCCATGAAAAGGCGTGCCAGTTTGTCGGCGAGAAGAGGCGCGCGATGCGCGTGGCTGCCTCGGCTATTTAAACAAGATAGAGCCTGAGGCCGAGGCAGAAGCAAAAAACCTGCGAAATCCGCTGAAAAACTCTGCCGTTTCTGATAGAGAGACTCTGTAATACTCGGTTGCCCAGAAAATGGCTTCGTCGTCCCGTGGGCTGCTCACTCTCTTTCCCGACCTGAACGAATCCACAGGAGAGAGAACTGGTGCGGTGTCCCGTGAACCTCAACCAAACACCACTGGGTTTGCTCCGTTGAACTTTCCGATGCAGTCGGTGGAGCAAAAAATGGCAGTGCAAACGGATGTGGAGGCTAATCAGTATACTTTGAAGGCATGTGTGGAGTCCATGACGGCGGTCACAAACTTGTCGAACCGGCTGCAGAGTAGGACAAATGAGGTGCAGCAATTAAACTCCCAGCTGGCTCTGCTCCAACGCATGTATAAGGATGCGCGAGCAGAGATAAGCGTGATAAGGGCAGAAAACAAGGAGCTGAAACGGAAGGCCACCGTGATGTTCCGATTTGGAGGACCGCCATATGCGGCAGTGGAGGAGCAGGGAGTAGTGAACGTGCTCGGTGGACAAGGAAACACGGAGGCAACACCGGCAAGGGCCGTCCAGGACGGAGGCAAGAAGAAGAGACCGGCGGCAGAGTAGAGAAGGATAGAGATGCATCCTATGCACTTGCATGGATTCAACTTCCATCTGTTGGCTCAAGGGTTTGGCAATTATGACCCAATAAACGATCCTAAAAAGTTCAATCTCATCAATCCACAAGCACGTAACACAATTGGCGTGCTGACTGGAGGGTGGGCTGTCATCAGATTTCAAGCAAACAATCCCGGTAAGTATTTATAATCAATCATGCGTGGCTTTATCATCTTCATACAATTTTAATATATATACCAAGTAGCTATAAATCTTTCCAAAGGTTCATTTAGGAGTGAATGTGCTATACCACATTATTCCTAACTTGTACATAAGCTTTCATATACTAAATTATGCTTTTTGAAAAATTTGATAGATGCAGGTATATGGTTAATGCATTGTCACATGGATTTACATTTGCCATGGGGCCTGTCAATGGCTTTTGAGGTTGAGAATGGGCCAACACCATCAACTACATTACCTCTCCCTCCACCAGATCTACCCCAATGTTAAGAGCTGTTCTACGTTGTTCTTTTTTATAATAATTTTTGTATGGTTCTTTCATTTTCATTTTATTTTGTGTTTCAATATATTCATTACAACAACCATGTAATAAAGTTTGTCAATAAATTATTCTTTCAATTGTATTAAGTTTGCATTCTTTTGAATAAAAATAATATTACAAATATTACAATCTTCATAATTCCTGGCCAAACATGAAGTTTGGTTTGATTTAAAAGTCTGTTTTTTAGTGGGCTATTTGTCTTATTATTATTTGGGAAAATTATTAAGAAGTCTCATGCCACTATTTTGGAGCTTGTTTTAGTCTATATAGTGACTTTACGAGTTTACACACTTTGTGCTCTTGACCCTGTACAACAAATCCTTCCGGTTGTTGCATGTCTATTTCCTCATCTAACTCTCTATTTAGGAAAGTGGTCTTAACATCCATTTGACGGATTTCAAGCTTATAGATTGAGGCTAAGGAAATCAACACTCGAATGGTGGCGATTCTAGCCACCGGAGCATATGTATCAAA